CGTATAGGTAAAATCCTTGGATCAGAATCTTGGGGTAGGACCCTCTAAGTCCACTCTTATTCGGGTATTATCAATCCCATGTCGAATTGTAAACTTAAAATTTGCTACAGTCGCTTCCGCTCGCTGCGTCACACGACAAACAATCACATGCCCTTCCCAAGACCCACGGCCTATTCGATTCCTTTGGAAGTCGAAGACATGGTGACTGTCAGCTTATAATCATTATCTGATAGACGTATTAAATCATCCTTCAGTGCTCAGTTCACAGTGACTTCATCGTGTTACTAGTCTTCATTCATTGAGCTCACCTGCTCCTTTAAAAAAATTAGCGGCATACAACGTTGGATCCGCAATGCAAAGTAGGCATCATGCAGGCTTAGCACGTGCCCAGAAATTCCTTTCTATTGATGTTTGCTTCCCCTTAGGAGCTCGATTGCAAGACTAGATCAACCAAGGGGCAGTCAATGTCTACTATTAGCAACTCCTTAGTCTCCCGCGATCATATCTCTAAACGGTGGTTCTTACTTGCCGTAAACCTCAGTGCACGCGTAAGCTGTTTAGCACCCACAGTACACCACATGGGAAACAGTTTCGGTGTCCGGTCAACCGATCGTATAATGGAGATCAACCTACAATCGTGTGCTCGGACGATCATCTTTTCCTGGTGGGTGCCGCCACACAAAATAGCAAACTAATACTTACATCCACTATCTGGTGCACAGGATTGGTTACAATTGAATCACGCAGCAATCAGTTACAGAATACGCGTAAGCACACCTGATTGTTGCTCGTGCTGGTCGACCTGTCTAGATTCTGATCATCGACCGGTATGTGCTAAGGTACGCTTGCATCTTAGAGGATTACTCAAACGAACATTTCATCTACGAACGTTGTAAACCTGTATAACTGGATACTGGTAAGGTACCGGAATTCACTGTCAGTGAGGCTTCTTTGAATTTCTTCGAATAGAGATATGAAATCACACTGGATACGTGTGAAAAATTCTGAAATTCTTGCGGCTGGAGTAGCTGTGGAGTTGTACGCCCCACTCAATGTATCTGAATCTCTGTAGTCTAGCTATCGACTTTAGGTTGAGCCCAATCAGTCCTGTCTGGGGAGTCACCGTACCACCTACAAGCTGCTTTGTTCTGGGGCTATTCATCAGGATAAGGTCAATCTACAGGTATTGACGAAACTCGTGTAACATCCTGATTTTCATCACATTTGTTCCTCTCAACGCTTCACTTTTCCAGCCTCATTCACGGGATTGAATATAACATTGCCCCACATCAGACGCAACATATCTGATATAATATCCACTTATGTCTTTGCTTCTGTTAGCCACATGCCTTTAAAATGTACAATTTCTCGATTTCAACGTTTTTTGCTAGTGCATCAGTTGTAAGGTAACAAGGTCACAGTAGAAAACGTAACTGTAATTTATTTATTTAGATGGTTCATAAGCTTTTTACGGGTATTCAGCTTTCATCTCATCCATGTTCCATTTGCTCCTCTTCATTTCTGTGCACTGGAGGCAGTCGCTTTAGGATGGAATCCACCAAGTTTACTGCCAAACAGAATTTGCAAGTTTCCTGTAATACACTGCACACCCTTAACACCGGCGATCTGTGGCAAGGTAGCTGACTTATCCCTGTTTCGATAATTTGCTTATTTACTGTGCGCTGAATGAAAAGAGAATAGAAATTTAGAATACGTGTGACCAACCTAATAGAAACTCTCATGGGACAGGAATCATCTATTAAAAGGAATGAGCTCCCATGCTGCTTTGCCCAAAATATTTTTCAAATCAGAGCTGTAACTTTCGAACTACTGCAAATTTTATAGCGAAATTCAAGGTTGCGCACATTCAGATGGTGATAACAATGAACAAAGAACACAGATGTTATATATAAAGTCGGGAATAAATACAGTTTACTCATAGCCATCTATATATAACTATGATATTGCAAGCTGAAATGGATTTTCAAAATGGGGGGTGATGTTGCACGAGTTTGGTCAACACGTGTAAATTCGGTGATTGGTCGGAACCAAAAATCAATCTGGCCGGTTGAAAAAGGTTTAGTCAATCGTTTTGCATGTGGGTTTTCATGTTCTTCTTGATCCCCAATAATATGCGTGCGTTCTGCATAATAAATGAATTCCTGCATGCTTCAAGCCGTTTTCTTCCACTACCAGTGTAATCGCTATCTTTACGAGAAACCTAATCGGAAAGCAATCATTTGGGAATCCACTGTGGTGGCTTATTCGTGCGGTTATATTTGATCCCACCGGATACAAACCGCACACAAAAATTTGTTCGTTTTATTGTGAAATGAGGTGAAATGTTTATGCTGGCCGCAAAGGGTAATGCTTTGTACTCCTTAGCGTAAAAATTTCGCTCTTACGAGTAGTACCAGAAGACTTTTAAAAATATCCTTCTAGTCACTGAAAACCCGTGTTTCCCACAGAATCTGTGGCATATACGTTGGACTCCTTCCAGATTCTACAGCTCTAGACCTAGGCTATGCTAGTTATATACTTACTATTTGACGATTCTCTAGCCAGCGAACAATCCACCAATTAAAGAAGGGGCATAAAACAGCTGAGGAAAAATAGTTTCATTCTGTTCTCGATTCCTCCCATTGAGCCGTATGTGGCTGATTAAAAACTTCACATGGGAAGCTCGCAATCGAAGTCAATAGCAGACAAGTGCGCTGGCTTGCTGCGGTGATCTGTCCGATCTCGCTTAAAATAGACACTAGCAACAACAAAACATTCACCTTTCAGTTTATACGACTTTAGGTATCCTATTTGCATGGAAGAGTACAGTTAAAAACTAGAAGGTTGTAAACCGTATAAAGGTCAGGGTAGAATTCCATGGGTGCTTAATATAAAAAAATGAGTATATATACTAGTCTCATCTTCTACAACACAGCCAGCCACCTCACTCACTGGCTTTGAACATCGATAGCACGGATATCCAGTTACAAATAACTTATTTCTACTTCGACGTGCTGCGTCTATTTTGTAATCTAAGAACGCTTTTCTGGTACAAGTTTATGGATGGTCTGGCAAAAGGGTATCGGATACTCATTCTTGATAAATAAAACCCGAAGAAATTCGATACAAATGTTCAAATACTACCAACAGCAATGAATAAATGTTTTTACTTCCTTTTTTGCTTATTGGTCATATCAATTTACAACAAATTTCAAGCGTGGAGGCCGCGATCATACACAGGTTGAAGAAGATTGGAGATGGGCAGTGGTGGTTGTGTCCAGGTGGCTTAAATGACGACCTTACCATCTGGCTGCGACATATGTCGATGCAGAATAGAAAACGACCATCTCTTAGCACCACATTTTGTGCGTATAGTTTATGATATTGATTCGCAAACAAGTTTTGCGTGTGTAATTGGTCTCTGCCGTAAGAATAAAGAGCAGTACCCATTGCCTTATCACTGTAAACATCCTTTTT